CCCCCCCCATTTAGACATAAATGTTTCAAAAATGCATCAAAATATGTAACAAATACATGTTACAATTACATTATATACAATAAATGAGAGTTGTGCATAATGTAAAAAAGAAAGAATAAAGAATAAAAATGATGATCATTTAACTTTTAACTGCGTTGTCAGAATTTTTTGCCCTCTTTTGTTTCGTTTATGTTCTTTCTCAGAAGTGGTTTTTGCCTGGTGTTTCGTAAAGAACTGATCCAAGGACGTTGGCTTTTGTCGGCTTTTAACAATCCTTTGAAAATGTCCAAGGCAAACATCAGCATAGTGAGCAATCACCCGACTGGTGAACACATTTTCTGTGTGATTCACATTTACGTAAAAAGATCGGAACACCTCATGGCCCGAAAGGCGAATGACCAGGACGCTGCAGAGACACAGATCGATCTATCTAAACGTATAGACACATCCGGTAGAGGTCCCTCTTAGCCAATGGGATGTCAGGATGATGCTTGGTAATAGCCAATGGCAGAGCAGCTCTAAGTATATTGCGTTCAGAAAACTCGGAGCTGCGAGTAGCGGGCCATACTGGATTTTTACCTTTCATATCTTGAAATTTCAAGAGGCAATATTTTCCTGTTGAGACGTTTTGTATCTTGAAAATTCCGTATGACGAGACGTTCGAAAGTAGAGATACCACTGTGTTTTGCAAGCGCTTTTTATTTTATGCATTGTTTCTTCCTGGCTCATTGTGACCAACGATTTCAGTTTGTACTTTGTCGGTCAGCTTTTCTGTAATAAATATTTTTTGTTATCACACTTTGTCTGAGACTGCATTTCTGGAATCCAAAACATTATTCGGTTCGGTTCAGAACCTGACAAGTATGATAAATCACTACTAGATGGCAGGAGTGGCTTCTTGGTCCACACATCATGTGAGTGTGTATGTATGTATACCACTCCTTCTCAAATAGTGGGGCACCCCCCCCTCGCCCCCCATATTCTCTCTCTCTCTCTCTCTCTCTCTCTCTCTCTCTCTCTGTTTATTTACAATTCAGGGGTGTCAAACTCATTTCACAATGTGGGCCACATACGGCCTCGGTAGATGTCAAGTGGGCCGGACCATTAAAAATTATACCACACTCTGCTATAAATAACCAAAACAATATGTCTTTCCTTTGTTTTGGTCTAAAAAGCACAAGAACATGAGGAAAATTTGGAAATTTAATGAACATATCTTTCACAAAACATTTCATGAAGTACCTTAACCTCCTGACTACCAGTAGTTCAAATTTGTCCTCTGTAGAGGACATTTGTGAACCTAAATATCTCCCACCCAGTGCCTCCAATCGCATTAACTCCTTTTGTTACTCTAAAGAGGACATTCAGTGCTTTCCAATGATACCAAATTTGTAGGGGTTAGAAAAAGTAAGAAAATGGCTTCCCTCAGTGCAAGCACTTTTTATGGGAAGAGAAAAAGTAATACTTTTTATCGACCACATTTTGTCTTGAAATGCTGTTGGCATTTTAATTATAAGACTCTTATGAACACGTTAAAGTGTTGTTTGAGTTGTTTTAAGTGTATTTGAGCCTGTTTAAAAAATGTAGTGGGATTTCAAAAATTTTTTTGGAGGAGTCCAATTACTTCACATAGATTGGGAAATGTCAAAATAAATGTGATTGGACAACATTTTTTTTCCTGGTAGTCAGGAGGATATGATTTCCTTTGACCAGGGGTGCCCAAACTTTTTGGACCTCAGATCGACTTTTCGATCAACCAATCTCCCGGGATCGCCCTTTACCGCGAACGTTCACACGCGCGCGCACGCACGCCATGATGAGAAACAGCCTGACACGCATGCGATGCACTTTTGCAGCCTGTTAACTATCTAGCTCGCTCACACGTACCGTTTTAAAGTGCTTCCCTGGGTCCTCTGGATTCCGATTCTTTGCCCGTGCCCCCGGTGAATTGTACACGAAGCAAACTCTGAATGAGAATAATGACAATAAAAGATAAAGCGCAATAGCTCTGATAACAAGCTGCAATTGCAGACTGCTGATCGCTAACAACTTCCGGAGATGTAATCACGCGCCACCGTAGGTTAATGATTTACCTTCTTTATTTTATTTTATTTTGTGAAAATGAGACTGACAGGACGATTAGGGTGCAGCGTACATTAACACAAAAAATTTCTTACTAACATGTACAAAGACGCACAAATGTTTGTTCTTCTCCTCTACACCACTCGGATACACTTGGGACCTGTCCTAGATCTACCGGTCGATCAGGATCGACGTAATGGGCACCCCTGCCTTAGACAAATGTGCAATTTACTTTTATCATTTACATATATGCATTGCAACTGATCCCACTGATTGTAAAAAGCACAAGTAATTGTTATTGAAAAATATAGTAATGCACTTTAAGATTAAACGATATTTATTAAGAAAGGAATTTTTAAACCATTTACACATGTGCATATAAAATCAAAATTTAATCCATGCCTACACCTTACAAACTACAGAGAGTGCTCTTAAATGTGTAAAGAATAAAGTATTCACATATCCTTGATACCGTCTGCTGTGTTGGGTCTGTCTCAGTGACAGATGGAGGCTGCTGTTGTCTTCTTCTCTGATCAAAACAATGTTGTCATCTGACCAAAACAGTGTGTCCCGTAGCGGATTTTCCATGAATTGCACCTAAATATTTATTCCGTGTCTTTTATGCATTTTTCATTTTGAAATTATCCTGCGGGCCTGATCGAACCTCATTGGGACCGGTTTTGGCCCGCGGGCCGTATGTTTGACACCACCGATCTACAGCATACGGTGGCTGACCATATAGCTTTGCAAAGTCTCATATATTTGCAAACTTAATCTATTTAACTGTTAAATACAGCAGGAACATGGTGGTAGCTGTCTGCCGCTTGTTTTACTCAGTGCCAAAAAGTTTTACTTAAAAGTTTAAAGTGGCGCACAACCCTTGGTTGTCTGTTGTTTGCCATTTATTGCTTTATTTGTTTGTATTTATATATTACCGGTATGTCTTTATGTATTTTTCTGCAGTTCAGTTTGCTGCCCTCATTTTTAGCGGTGTATGTTTCAATGCACTGCATGTTTGCACTGTGGTTGAGAGAGGAAAGTAATTTCATCTGTGCTGTATGTTGCACATCGAGCATATTTGACAATAAAACTTGACTTGACTTAACGAGGATCCAGCTCCACAGTGTGGGCAAGGTTAGAATCCAATCCAATCTTGCGTTTAGTCAGGTGCGCTGCATTGTATTGAAAACACGCTCCTCTGATTATGCTCAAATATAATTATGGTGTTGTGACTCCATGTGGTGTGTATACAGATTAAATTGTTAATTTAACTTAAAATGGTTTTGGCTAAGTATGTTTGCAAAGGCTGATTGATGGCTGTTGGTGTTTTCATCATCCATCCATCTGTTTTCTGATCCGCTTAGCCTCACAAGGGTCGCGGGGCATGCTGGGTCCTATGACAGCTGTCATCGGGCAGCTGGCGGGGGACACCCTGAACTGGTAACCAGCCAACCGCAGGGCTCTTTTCATCATGTGAACAAGTACGCTGTGTTTGAGTCGCGCTTTTAAAGTGCATTAGCAGCTACAGTATTTGCTGCATGGTGTATTGGAGTATCCAAGATTTTCCTGAATAGATAATCATTGCAGCAATCAACAAATATATTTTTTTTTTTGCTCCATTAATAAGGTCATCTCATTCACTTCCAGCCCTCCCCGTTACAATTAATATTTGGAATCTATAGCTGTTGTTGACAGTGTATTAAAAAGCAAACTTCCTCGTTACATTCTTGTGTTGAAGTGTGACGTCAAGTGGCATTTTGGTACGCTTGGAATTTTTGGAATATGAATGTGAACTGCATACTCACAGTCTCGACATTCTACATTGGTATTCATTCCTATCAGTCACAACACCCCTGAGGACCAAGTTATAAATTATTTTTTATTATTGTGACAGAAACAGCATGAATACAGGCTAAAATTGTCAAGTCACAGCAATCGATCAGCAGCTATAACAGCAGAAACAAAATTGACATGGTATTGCACATACAAAACATATTAGCACTGCAATGAACTCACAGAAAACATATTACAAAACTAGTAATTTGCAGTCATTCATGAATCCATTTCCTATAATCGCTTATCCTGACAAGGGTCACAGCAAGTGAGGTGCAATCTATCTCAGCTGACTTTGGGCGATATATGGATGACACCCTGGAGTGGTCGCCAGCGAAGTGCAGGCTAACTCATTGCACTCAAGTGAGTGAACAAGTTCATCACCTAATCTATATCTACATACAGCACCTTGCCAAAATAAGGTACTTTGGTACATATCACTGTCAGCAGCAAGAAAAAGAGGCAGAATTTAAAGGCATTAGATAGTGTTTTTGTTTCTTGAGCTCATGACAGCAGCAGTTGAACAAGGACACGATTCTCCCGGTCCATACTGCCACCACATGGCCACAGAGTGAAACAACAGCAATACAGTCATATCAAAAAAAGGCACAGCATATAGCACGGGGGGCGGGGGGGACGTAAAGTTTACATAGTTTTGATCCAGTGATTAGTCTTTTTTTATACCTGATAGAGTAGTACAATGTCACACAATATTAAGTCAGAGTGACTTCGTCCAAACGTTAACTTAGTGTGAAGAACAAAAACCCAGCAGGCACTGTGGCAAGATAAAAGAGGCACAGAAATATAACAGCAGTATTTCATTCCTGATGAATTTTCCAGCACTTTGGATAAAGTCACTCAAAGGTAAAAATAAATCAATGAAATAAGCCATGAATTTCATTCCTCAAACATGGCAGCACTTGCAATATAATTAATACAGTGTGTGTGTGTGTGTGTGTGTGTGTGTGTGTGTGTGTGTGTGTGTGTGTGTGTGTGTACTCCCTTGCCCTTCAAAGCATACAAATGAAAATTTGTCCATACGATTTTGGAAATATTATTCCCTAAAGACAAAACATTTACCAGCAGGATATTTTGTTTATGATCCATCCATCCATTTTCTGATCCACTTTATCCTCAAGCGTCTCAAGCGGGCATTCTGGAGCCTATCCCAGCCGTCTTCGAGTAGTACACCCTGAACAGGCTGCCAGCCAATTGCAGGGCATACAGACGAATAACCATTCACACTCACAATCACACCTCGGGACAATTTAGAGTGTTCCATTAACCTGCCATGCATGTTTTAAGAATGAGGGAGGAAACCAGAGTACCCGGAGAAAACCCACACAGGCACAGGGAGAACATGCAAACTCCACACAGGCAGGTGGGAGCCAGAATTGAACCTTGCACCTCTGTACTGAGAGACGGATGTGCCCCCTTGGTTTATAATTATTAGCATATTACAGTATTTGTTGTAGTGTTGTCATTGTCAGTTATAAAGCTCACTTGAAAAAAAAATATCAATAAAAATGGTTGCTGTCAGGCAGAGTCCTCACACCACCAAAATAACTATTTTTCGGTAAATTATAGATATCTCACTAATTTATTGCACTGGCATTGGATGACATGACGTCAACATGAGCCAGTGCCACTTCAAAAAAGCAAATTAATGTTGAGTCATCAGGTGTTTTAGAACAAAATGTATGACAGGTGAGTGTCCACAGGTGAGTGAATGTTAATAGATTTGCTATCAAGCTATATTCAACACATTAAACAGGATAATAATGTGTAAAACTAACAGACAAAAACAGGTCCACATCAATTGAAGCCATTAGTGTAAAAAAACAGTCAATCTATACAACAATAGACCATCATGAGAAACAGGTAGTTTCCGCCTGACAGCAAGGATATGGTTCTAAAGTGAGGCAGACAGTGTGTTTTTAACAGAGGCAATAAAAATAGGCCATATTTACTGTCTCTGCATATGCTTCTAAACTCTTGGCTGTTTCAAAACCTGACAAGAGATCCACCTCTGAAGCACTTAATTCAAATTCAGCAGCTTTTATAGCCTTGTGAGAAATCCTTCCAAACTTGCCGCAACCGAGAAGGCTGAAAGCCATTGACGAGAACAAGTCTGGCAAAAGTGCACCTGTCATAGTCCAGATTCCGGATTTCAAAGAGGTTCCTCCCGAATACCAGCCAGCTTCTCGAGGGGACAGGCTGTACACCAAGCACGTGCAGACACAATCCCACGTAGGCGTCCTCTATCGGGATCCTTCGGACGAACCTGGAAGCCCATGACACCTTGGCGGCCATGTCTATTGAGAAGACGTACCCAGCACCTGACACATATGAAGGGAAGTTGTCCTCAGGGTACAGGTGCTTTGACAGGTGCCACTTGCTGTTGCGGTCCCTCCTTGGCTTGCCATCGGATATCACCGATCCTGCAATGTAATTATTCCTGGGAGAGCTGCTCAGTAATCTGACAAGAAAGAATACATTCACAAATATGTCGGCATCCACCTTCATGGCATAGGTGGCGTTGGGGCAGTAGGTCGCCAGCCAGTTCATTATCATCATGCTTTTGATTGTGAGATTCTCATAACTGTCCAAGAAGTTCATCTGGATGACATCTGAATAGTTATTGCTCTCCTCCTCCAGCTTGTCCTGGATGCTTTTCACCTGTCCTTCCTTAGGCACCCCCATGTAAAACAGTGTAATGGTGGACTGACCTGCAGCACCCCACGTTTCTCTTATGGCATCCCTTGCCGACGAATCCAGAGGTGCCACTGGCACCATAAACACCAGGAAGGGATTTCCCTTCTTACAAGCGTCAGGCTGATTGAAAATATAGGAGTACGTTTCGGGGGAGAGGAGCCTGTACTCTTCTGCAGGAAGGGGGCTTGGCTTCGTAACTTCCTTGACAGTTGCATTTCGAAGAGCAGACAGAACTATCGCGACCAAAATGGTGAGAGTGAGGAGCTTCACCAAGGAACGGAAGAAACACACCCACATAGCCCACAAGTCCCCTACTCGCATATTATTAAACTGTTTGTCCGCGTTTGACGAACCCGGAAATGAATATGAACGTCACTATAACTAGGAGGGGCGATAACAGTAAAAATGGCTACGTCTCAATTCAACGTCTGTAGTTCCGTAAGAAAAGACTTGTCTCTGCGGAGTGTCCAATCTCCTACCCTATATGCCACCTTTCCTTCCCCTTTGTTGGATTATGTCATTAGGTCAAAATACTGCTGTTTTTTTGCCGTCCCAGTCCAGATCAAGCTGGTTACCTCATGTTTGTTTAGTTACTTTTATTCGGGCTGTGTTGGACTTCTGTTTATTTAGTATTTCTGATACACTCCAGACCTCGTTTATCTTTTGTTCCTTTGCATTCAAATTTTTACACAGATTTAGAATTTCCACCGAGTTGCCTCGCAAGCAGAGTTGGGCATCGACTGGTGCCCCCTTTCTCACCGTTGTTGCTTTTGTTCCTCCTTATTGTTTTATTACTATGCAGTTGCTATGGCTCTTTTATGCTTTGTATCTTTATTCTGCCATGTCGGCTTGATGTCTCACAGTACAAACTTAGATTACTCGTTGACAGGTTGCCAGTACGTCAAGCTGTGTCCGCTCTTCTGTGTCTTCTGCATCCAGCACTGCTCTCTGTTGTTACTTTATATTTTCATCGATGAAACGTACTTTTCAATTTGCGTGTCATGTCTGCTTCTGGGTCCT